TGGGACACAGTTGTTAACATCGGTTGATGCTACAGTATTTACCGTAAGCTTTTCAAAGCGCGGCAATCAAAAATGTTTTTAATAATAATTACATTTTTAAATGGTAATACTAAACATCTGGAATTTTACCATGGTTTTATAATTAAACCAATGACTGTTAAAGGTTCAGCATGTAATATTTAGGAGACAGAAATACAATATAATTTCCATAACTCTGTTTTCAGTGGTATAAGACCTTTATATGATGAACCGTCATGTTTTTATTAACTTAGAATGAACCTTCTCTATCTACATACACTGCGTTTCCTCTTACATGGACGGCGCCATGTTGCGGGGCCATGTTTTGTGCAGTAGCCCAAATGGTCAAAAGGCTCTACAGAGCGTGTTTCATAACTATGTTTAATGAATACGTACAAAGAAGAAGAACAAAAAAAAGTAACGGTAGTAGTATTAATAGACTGGTTTATTAGAAGTAAGAAAAGAAAGGAATGTGGGCAAATGGAGGCCCACATTTATTATTTAGAGCCGACAAAGTATATCGGCCACCATAGCTTCTCCTGCTCGTTGCGACTGATGATGCATTCATGTGGTGTCGGAATAATCAGAAGTATACAGAACTGATTCATGCAAAATCACGTATTGCATATGCATATTTTGCAAACATGTAATTTGTAATATGGTTATAACTGTTTGTTTGTTTGAGTACTAGATGTCTGCGTGTTGTTTGTTTGCTCTGATAATGCTAATCCAACACATCAAAAAACTTAATTTTGCTAAAATATTTTTACGCTCGCTTGAGGTGGTTTTTGCTTTTGTCGAGTAAATGTGCTAAATGGGAGATGGAAACTTTTTCCAAATATTTTCTGACATAGCGAACTTGTAACTCACGTCTGATCAGCTGTTTCTGCTGTCGGCGTCTTGCCCGGTTGTGCAGCGCTCTGCATGCCTGCCGAGAATTTCACGCACCTCACGTCTGGTAATGCTCATTTGTGCTGAGAAAAGAGGTGGATGCAAATCTCGGCAGGTAGCCGTAGTCATCATCTGTTCTGCCAAATTATGCGTTCACCTCTTAAAGGTCCTTTTCAGATATTGTCCTCTGCACACTGATCAAACGCGGTTATCTCCGCATATTTTTTGCTGAATCTCTACTTCTACTGATTGTAATAAAATATTAACGACTCTAAACGTTCATAAAATATATAGTTGGATTCATTTTTCACCATTGAAGAACCCCACAAAGGATATTATGGCGTTTAAAAGCATTCTCGGCAGGTATGCTAAACTCGGCATAACCCCAACACACATTCCTGAGGGGATCTCTCCATTTTTCTCAGTTCATTGGCCATCAGGTTCATGCAACTGGTTTTGTTCCTGGTTACGTCGTAACATCAACTACTGACGTAACTATGCTTTCCGTAGCCTGGTTTATTTGCTCCAAACCAGCTGATCGAAACTATTTCAGTATTTTCTTTTTTTGTTTCTTTTTTGCGACATTTCAAAAGTAAGCTTATAATTCACATGACAATTGGATGGAAACATGGCTATTGTTGTAACATCCATGTTGATTCACATTCTGAATTAAGTGCACATGAACACACACTGAAGTTGGAAGAATGGCTTCACAACTCAATAAAATGGGACCATTCGAGGAGCATTACAATGCACTGTGAACAGCTGGTTGCAATTCGCAAACCTTACCTCTAGATGCAACTAAAACTTACACATTGAACCTTTTAAAGTACATTTACCAAAGTACAATTTAAAGGTTACTTGCATTGCATACTTCACTATTTGCATGATATGGTTATTTTAGAGGAAAATCAAGAAATACTTTTCTACCCACTATATTCATCTGACAACTATGAATGCATATAAAACATATTATGCGCTTATAAAATGATTTTTACTGGTGTCAACTGTAAATTGGCTCCACCTCTACCAGCCCCAGCAGTAGTAAGCCTAGTAAGGCAAACTTTACGAATGTTTTAAACATTGTAACTCTTGCCTTATTTAATAGTTACTAAAAAAATTACGATTATAGCTTTGTTTTAAGCAATTATTAAGGATGTCTTTGGGTTACCAGGTTGTAAATAATCCAAAGGAGTTTTTATATGATGGAAGCCCAAAGGTACAAATCAATGATTACTGATTTATACAGCGTTAAAAGCACCATTCTAGAAAATGACTACATCTGTTTTTGAGACTTAACGCTGCTTTGATGAATAATATATATAAAATATTAATGAAATGACCATGTTTAATGTAAAAGGTATTGCTCATATTGATGAACCCACTATTACCCAACTCTGAAGCAGAGTGTTTGTTAATTTAGTTTAGTATCTTTCAGCTCATTGTTTTTGTTTTATGGCTTCCAACTTTAATGTTTTGGTTCAGTCTCAGCACTATCATCAAAATCATTTACACAGTTTTCATCCAAAAAGTTCTGATAAACCCACTCTGCACTACCTAGACAGACACAGCTGGTGAACATAGTCAGAGACATTTTATAGAGGAGACATATCTTCAGTACAACTCTATGGGGAAAGCCCTTGTTAGTCTGAAATAGCTGCCCAGAGGCATTGCCAAGATTACTGCTGAGTGGCATGACTTACCTATAAGGACTTTGACATAGTAGAGCATTTAGCAGCTAAAAAGCCAGATATTTCTCTCAGGAGTTACTGGAGACCAAAAATCAGTCTGAAAGACTTGCATTCATAAGATGGCCAAAAAACACAACTCCAAATGAATGCTAATGTTGCTCTGTCTGTTGAAAGTGTAGATAGGCAACTATTTGTTGACTAAATCAAAATGATATGTCTGTTGTGTGTTTACACCTTGTTGTGGCTGCCACCAAGTGGGCAAAAAGTCAAGTGTTGGCGAGTGAGTGTTGTAAATTTTGTTAAGACTTTCTCATGTAAAATTTGGAAGGCAGGACTTGTACACTGCTCAAATAAATAAAGGGAACACTAAAATAACACATCCTAGATCTGAATGAATGAAATAATCTCATTAAATACTCCTTTCTTTAACAAAATCACACACAAATTATCAATGGAAATCAAATTTATCAACCCATGGAGGTCTGGATTTGGAGTCACACTCAAAATCAAAGTGGAAAACCACACTACAGGCCGATCCAACTTTGATGTAATGTCCTTAAAACAAGTCAAAATGAGGCTCAGTAGTGTGTGTGGCCTCCACGTGCCTGTATGACCTCCCTACAACGCCTGGGCATGCTCCTGATGAGGCGGATGGTCTTCTGAGGGATCTCCTCCCAGACCTGGACTAAAGCATCCGCCAATTCCTGGACAGTCTGTGGTGCAACGTGACGTTGGTGGATGGAGCGACACATGATGTCCCAGATGTGCTCAATTGGATTCAGGTCTGGGGAACGGGCGGGCCAGTCCATAGCATCAATGCCTTCCTCTTGCAGGAACTGCTGACACACTCCAGCCACATGAGGTCTAGCATTGTCTTGCATTAGGAGGAACTCAGGGCCAACCGCACCAGCATATGGTCTCACAAGGGGTCTGAGGATCTCATCTCGGTACCTAATGGCAGTCAGGCTACCTCTGGCGAGCACATGGAGGGCTGTGCGGCCCCCCAAAGAAATGCCATCCCACACCATTACTGACCCACCGCCAAACCGGTCATGCTGGAGGATGTTGCAGGCAGCAGAACGTTCTCCACGGCGTCTCCAGACCCTGTCACGTCTGTCACATGTGCTCAGTGTGAACCTGCTTTCATCTGTGAAAAGCACAGGGCGCCAGTGGCGAATTTGCCAATCTTGGTGTTCTCTGGTAAATGCCAAACATCCTGCACGGTGTTGGGCTGTAAGCACAACCCCCACCTGTGGACGTCGGGCCCTCATACCACCCTCATGGAGTCTGTTTCTGACCGTTTGAGCAGACACACGCACATTTGTGGCTTGCTGGAGGTCATTTTGCAGGGCTCTGGCAGTGCTCCTCCTGCTCCTCCTTGCACAAAGGCGGAGGTAGCGGTCCTGCTGCTGGGTTGTTGCCCTCCTACGGCCTCCTCCACGTCTCCTGATGTACTGGCCTGTCTCCTGGTAGCGCCTCCGTGCTCTGGACACTATGCTGACAGACACAGCAAACCTTGTTGCCACAGCTCGCATTGATGTGCCATCCTGGATGAGCTGCACTATCTGAGCCACTTGTGTGGGTTGTAGACTCCGTCTCATGCTACCACTAGAGTGAAAGCACTGCCAGCATTCAAAAGTGACCAAAACATCAGCCAGGAAGCACAGGAACTGAGAAGTGGTCTGTGGTCACCACCTGCAGAACCACTCCTTTATTGGGGGTGTCTTGCTAATTGCCTATAATTTCCACCTGTTGTCTATTCCATTTGCAAAACAGCATGTGAAATTGATTGTCAATCACTGTTGCTTCCTAAGTGGACAGTTTGATTTCACAGGAGTGTGATTGACTTGGAGTTACACTGTGTTGTTTAAGTGTTCCCTTATTTTTTTGAGCAGTGTACTTACAACACAGCATTTAAACTGTAAACTTCTTGATTTAAGATGTGTGTTAACTAGTCCTTTAAAAACTTTAACATGTTAAATTCTGTTCAGTAGCTGGAGATGAAACATGTTTGTGTGATGCTGGGCAGTTGATTGGAGAATAGACAATAACAATAATAGATAATAATAAGATTCTGGCTTACAGGAAGTAGGCTGTGGGTATAATCTGCCATTGAACGACTATTACAGTTAGAATTCTCCTTCCCTTATGCTATTGCATCCTGGGCTTAGTGCCACCCGAAGATGATTGTGATTGATTCAAAGAAGTAAAAACCAGTCAGTGCCGCCCCCCCCCCCCCCCCCCCCCCCCCCCCACCCCCACCCCCCATCCCCAGAATGATAATGACAGTAACCAGACTTTTCTCCACATTTAGTTTTAGCGCCAGTATTGGAGAAAGGTCTGGCTATGCAAGACAAATCGGTCACTAACCTTTGCACTCCTCTTCCTCCTTTTCCACAGCAACTGCTAAGGGAGATGCAGCAGATGGCCAGCCGACCTTTCGCCACCATCAACGTTGCGTTGGAGACTGACGAGGAGCCACCTGACCTGATAGGAGGAAACGTCAAGGTGAGCACAACCTTTTCTTAAAACGATCACCACCAAACCCCAGAGATCCACCCTGTGTCTGGGCTGACAGTATGGCAAACGGGGGAAGCTCCATCCATCATCAGTGTCGTCGCTCATCCTCCCTCAAGTGGGAGCTTAGTCTTGTGCCAGTCGACTGCAGTTTGTGATTACAGTCACACCGTAGTGATTTCTCACACCATCTGTTTGACTTTTTTTTTACTCTGAACTATATGATTCCATTAGCTTTCAACAAGCCAAGGAGGGTAAATTGTGCTCACTTAGGAAGAATAGTTTGAAGTGTAGTGCATGTCTAGTCCACATAATGAGGGTCAATGCTGTGTGTACGTTTGCTGGGACAGTGGGAAGGCCACATGATGATGAAAGTGGGCTGCTGATGAGTAACACATCGCATTATACCAGTTATAGCCAGTTTTTGTGGGTAGACTATGAATTCTAATGAGAATGAATTCAGTTAACCCTGGAGTTAAATACATGCAGATGAGAGTAAAGTATTGTAGATTACGACTATACTTAGAAATGAGATAAGCATTCCGTTCTAACATTTGAGATATTCTTCATTTGGGGAAAATAAAAAAATAAATGACGCCTACTTGCAGGAAACATTTGCTGGCATGAAAGTAAAGACCATTTGGGGACACTATTAAAGTCATCCTTCATCTTTCTAAACAGCCTTGTTTTGGTGCATCGAACCATCTGTGTTTTTTAAATACTGACGGAGAAATCGAAGGTAGCAAGTTCTGTCCATATGGATGTACAGCTTTTTGGAACAAAGCCATTCAGATAGGAGTGCAAGTGAAAGACAGTCAGTCTTAAACTGTGTACAATTTAGAACAAATCATGACACAGTTGTTAGAGCTGCATTTTATTAGACCAGATCACAGGTTCAGGTTCTCAATGTAGGTCCTGATATGGAGATTTGAGTCACATGACTTTACCTTCATGCCTGACACAAGTTATTTAACTCAGATCAGCTACAACTCAAAACCCCTTGTTTTTTTGCTATCGTTTTATTCCAGCCAAAGTTTTCAATGATATAATATTTGTTAAATAAAACGAAGATAAATAATCAACATTTGTCTAAGGAGTGCCAAAGTTACAAACCCAAACTAAAAAGAGACCAATGCAGCCATGTTTAAACTGCGATTTGGATGCAAACCTAACTTTGTAATATTTAGCATCATTACTTTTGGTTGCTGTTATTGTTGGTTAGTTTGAGAATACTTTTCCTTGTCTTACTTCACTTTATTTTCCATACTTCCATACTGCAAAAAACACATGCCAAGGTTAAGGAGATATTTTTTTATTAAACTACTGCCACTACCGCAGTATATGCAGATGTGAACTCAGTTTTTTTAATAGTGACCATTTCTTAGGTAGTGTTGAAGTAAGAAGTCTCAGAGAATGAATATATATAATTATCATAAGCACTCTGACGATGAAACAAGACAAAAACAATTGTACAGTGGAATCAAGAAGACATACCTCCATGTAAAGAGAAAATACCTGCTGTCACAGAAGAATTGAGGGAGGTAAGTAGTCTACAAGGCCATGTCTCAACACCTTCTTCAAATAAGGAGTTAAGCTTAAGCATTAACAAATAATTTGTCAAAGTAAATTTCCACCACAAGTAGAAAGTAGTTCCAATGAAACTGTCGTCTCTTCTTTAGATTTTAAAATGGCATTTTTCAATGTTGTGAGCACTTCAAAGCAAGCTTCTTTATCTCCACAGTGTCAGAGTATTTTTGAACAGCTATTGTTAGTAGAGCTTGAGCCTGGTGAGATGTTAGAAGGGTAGATTTAAATGTAAAGATGAAACTGGAGATGGTGGTTCAGAAGACTTTATTATAGAGAAGGGTTTGACGTACCAGTGGAGTTGAAGTAGGCTAGAGCAGATTTAAATGCAGATATTGTGCACAGAGGCAGCAGTAGAGAACATTTAAAAGTAGCAATTGTGCAGAGTTACAGAAATTGCAGTTGAGTATTCGGCGGGCACGGAGCCGCTGGCAGGTATACCTGTGACTGTGCACTTTGTGATGAATGACCTCTGAATGCAGATGTAGTGCAGAATTATAGGGCTGTTTCGGCAGGGTGGCTCCGGGGCCCCTCGGCTCTGACAGGGGCCATGCATCTCAAGGGGCTCGGCTCCCGAGCACAAGGTTACTCCCAGCAAAGGCTGCAGGGCCCCTCGGGAAGATCAGCAGCTAATCAAATCCCTGCTCTAACTGAAACTATCTCCTGCTTCTCTTTTGTCCTCAGTTCACTTCTCTTCCCCTCTCCTCTATTCCCCTTCCCTTTCTTTTTTCATCACTCTTTCCTCTGCTCTCTGTTTTGTGCCCTGTGTTAATGTTTCCACTCTTCTTTTCTTACCTTCTTTTTCTTTTCAATTCTTTCCATACATCTTTCCCCTCTGTTCTTTATCATATTTTCAACTCTGTTTGTCCTTTTAGCTTTTCTCTTCTCTACTCCTTTTCACCTTTTTTCATTAGTCTGTCTCCTATTTTGATCCCTTCTCCCTTTCTCTTCACTTGTCTTTTTTTTCCTCATGTCCTGTTAGTCGCTTCTGTTAATCTCTTCCCTTTGTTTTATCATTCTTTTTATTCTTTCTTCTCTCCTTTTATTTTCTCTTCCATCTTCTGCTCTCCTCTCTTTTCCCTTTTTCTTCCCTTTTTCAGCTGTGTTCTTTGTTTGTCTTTTAGTATTTTTCCTCCTTTTCTTTTTATCTTACTTTAAATGTATCATCTCTTTTTCTATCCATCTTTTTATCTCTTCTTTCCTGTTTGTTACCCCTTTTTTCGCATAACTTCTGTTAACGGTTTTGTTCTGTACACTTTGTTCTTTTGTATATATTCTTTTCTATTTTCAAATATTATTCTTTTGTCTGGTTTTTTTCCTTGTCTTAATCAGTTTTTTTGTCTATTGTCTTTACTTTTCTTTGTATCTTTTCTCTTCTTTTCGTCTCCTTTCGTCCCCTGTCTTACATCTTTACTTTACTATAGTGTTCTTCTCTAATTTACCAGCTCTTTACTGATCCTATCAGCTGTTTGGAGTTTTGTGTTGGCCTTATCTGCTTGTGTGTGTGTGTGTGTGTGTGTGTGTGTGTGTGTGTGTGTGTACTTCTGCATGTTTGTGTGGGAGTTGGCATTGTGCATGTGTTGTGCTGCTGTGTAAAAAGAAAAGATGCAGCTTGCTGTGGAAATCGGGCACCCTCCTCCTCCATTTCTGCTTTACCTTTTCTCCGAATCTTCTTTTCTTCCATTCTTCCTGGCCTGCTCTCCTCCTCTCCATCAGGGCAGGAGAAGCCCAGGAGCAGAGATCCAATTTAGATCTTCCTCCTCAGCATTCTCTGCCTTCACTAGCTCAAACAGTGAGCGCACACTATCCTATCTCCTACCGGCTCAGATTGAGCGACTCCGGAGCAGGTTCTTCCCCTTGTTTCCATGCTGTTTTATCAGGACGCTACTCGCAATTGGAGTATATGGGGGGGCCAGGCGCCGCAGAGTGAGCTGAAGATCATTAAAGTTGTTTATAGCCTCGGTGGGAAGTCCAAACTTGCTTCGCAGATGAGATATATTCACTCTGCTTCTGCCAAATGGAGCTTGCGGCCCCGCCATCACAGGCAGATGATTACCTTTGTGAAGCCTCTTGCTCTGCTTTTATTTATGGATACCATGGGACAAGAGAAAATCGGGACATGTTATGAAAAAAATGGAGCAAGCAAAGAAACTGTTCTGGTTTATTTACTCATTGTATATTTCATTAAATTAAGGCCTATTTTTTTAAATACCAATGGTGCAAGTGTGATAAACTTACATTTTCCTGTCTAGAACACTGAGAATCATGGAATTTAAGGTGAAATGTCAAAACACCAGAGGAATTATTATATTCTGATAGATAAGAAGCGTGTGGTAAAGACTTGTTTCATAAATTCTGAATCTAACGGACTGACTTACCGTTTTGTTGAGATGCACTTGCTTCAATGAGTAACGTTAAAGGTATAATTGGATTTAGAAGTAAATTGCCTGTGATGTTATTTATAGCATCTTTCATGGCAAGAATAGTGTTTTCTGTGATGTGTTTCTGTAGTTTCTCCTGGTTACCTGGAGAGAGCAAGTCCAGAGCTGTTTTAGGAAAGCAGAAATGTTTATCGAGTGGCGGATTCCTGAAAACTTTAAAATATGTCTCTGTTATCCACTGGTGACTAGGTTTTTATGAATAATTTTCACTTCAACAAACAGTACAAACAGAAGAGGTTGAAAGAAAGATGAGACAGTGCTAAAGACAAAAGGTGTTTTTATTTGTTTGCGGTAATCAGAGCCATAAAGCTTCTCACCTATTTGCAGAGAAGTTACACTTGTTTTGTTTTAACATATTGTGTGTCCTTGTTTCCTGCTCTAGAAAGACTCAGCTGCCTCAGTTCTCCTCCTGAGTAGTGTTAGGTTTGACAAGCTTCTGAAATGAATTAAAGATGTTGGAGTTGGCTGTAACTTGGGTTTTCATTACTTCGTAGAACATTATATGGTTTAAAGTTGTGCACTACAGGTGTACTTTATTGACACTCAGTTCCAGAAAAGAGCTTTACTCAATCTGATCCATTTGATTGAGATTGCCTGGTTATGTTTTACATTGAGAACCCAACATTCTCATTTAGTAAGATAAAGTTCACTTAAACTTGTTTATCTTAATTTTTCTGCTGAGTTTAGTTTAAACACACTGCAATATGGTGTTGTTATTATAACAGGCTGACAAAACATTTTCTTGGCAAATAGAAGCCAACTGAATAAAAACTCATCAAAGTTGGCTCACTGGAAGTGGCCGTACCTGGTGAGACATAGCAACAGGGAGTTTGACTCACTCTCTTCACTGGCGGGGGGGAAACTCACCCCCAGCTGCTGCTAAAGTAGAGATGAATGCAGCGGATGAAAGAAGAGCAGCATGCAGCCGCAGTGGATGCCCACATCAGTGTATGTATGTGTACGTGT